TATAGACTAGACTATAGACTAGACTATAGACTAGACTATAGACTAGACTATAGACTAGACTATAGACTAGACTATAGACTAGACTATAGACTAGACTATAGGCTAGACTATAGACTAGACTATAGACTAGACTATAGACTAGACTATAGACTAGACTATAGACTAGACTATAGACTAGACTATAGACTAGACTATAGACTAGACTATAGACTAGACTATAGACTAGACTATAGACTAGACTATAGACTAGACTATAGACTAGACTATAGACTAGACTATAGACTAGACTATAGACTAGACTATAGACTAAACAATAGACTAAACTATATACTTGCCTATAGATAGACTACTCTATTTGTGTTAGATTTCATTTAAGAATTTTGTCCTTTAAAAAAAAACCCTTTAGAACAACATGTTAAACATATTGATTTATTTACTGTAAATCCTTTCATTTTCACAAAATTAGTATCATTTACTTCCTTCATGGTTGCTCCATGCAAGAGAGATGCATCAATAGCTAGCAATATTTATTTATATTTATAGGAATGTTATTTATTCCATTACCATGTAGTGGAACCTCCCTTTCAATAAGTAGAAAGAAGTTGGAGGGAACATTTTGAATGTTTTTGTTATTTATATTTTTTATAAAAACGAAATTTATAACAGAAAAACAATAGTTTGTATGTCCCGCTGTGAAAGTAATTTCATTGGCAATTTAGAGAAGCAAAACAAGAGCTTCTTGTTTTGTTTTGTATATTTCAGTTGTAAGGATTTCCAATATTACTAGTTGTAGCTGTTGTTCTCTTTTTGTTGCTATAAATGAATGCATTTATTGTTTACAATGACATGCATGTTTGTGCAACATGTTAAAGTAAATAATAGTTGCAACATTCCTTAACAGTATGATGTTTGTTGTAAAACGTTGTATATGTATGTTGTAACATCACAAAATCGTGAGTTGTACGTGTGTCATGCTGAATTTGTTTTAGGTTTTTTTTTGATTAGTTTTTTTTAAACTCTTCGTGTTTAATTTGTCAGCTAAAAGAAAAGTGTGTCTATAAGACAGTGGATTTAGACAGCGTGAAATGGAATTTATATAGTTTTTCTATTAGTGGCTTTTAAAATGGAGTTCTGTTCTTGAAATCTTGTGAAAATCAGTGGGAGATCATGAGCTAAACTAAGTTTGCTTTGAAAAGGAAATTTGTTATGCTATTAATTTGATTTTGGTTTTAACTTGGCAGGAATTTTAGCTTTTTAATAGTTTAGTCATGTGAAACAAAGTTTTGTCTTAAGGGCAATTTATTTTTAATTGCAACAAGGAGTTTTTTTGCTGGTAATTTTAATAAAACGGGTTCATAACAGAATTCAAGAAGAATCGAGTAAAGAGTTTAACTATCTATAGTTCTATAGACCAAATAATTGTTCCATTAGGTCTAACGACTAAACTATAGTCAAGACATTAAAACATACCTAACTATATACTAAATATAGTCAAGACTATAGACTAAACTATAATCAAGACTGTAGTCACAACTATAGACCAAACTACAGACAAGACTATAGCCTAAACTATAGTCAAGAACAAAGACCAAGCTATAGACAAGATAATAGACCAAACTATAGACAAGACTATAGACCAAACTATAGTCAAGACTATAAACTAATACTATAGACCAAACTATAGTCAAGACTTTAGACTAAACTATGGTCAAGACTGTAGTCACAACTATAGACCAAACTACAGACAAGTCTATAGCCTAAACTATAGTCAAGAACATAGACCAAGCTATAGACAAGATAATAGACCAAACTATAGTCAAGACTATAGACTAAACTGTAGTTAAGATTATAGACTAAACTATAGTCAAGACTATAGACTAACTACAAGTCAAGACCTTAAACCAATACTATAGACCCAAACTATAGTCAAGACTATAGACCAAACTATACTCAAGACTATAGACCAAACTATAGTCAAGACTATAGACTAAACTATAGTCAAGATTGTAGACTAAACTATAGTATTGTCTATAGACTATAAGCAAAACTATAGTCAAGACTATAGTCAAGACTATAACAAAACTATAGGCATGACTATAGACAAAACTACAGCCAAGGCTTTAGACAAAATTATAGTCAAGACTAAAGTCTAAACTATAGATTAAACTACAGTCAATACTATAGATTGAACTATAGACATAACCATAAATTAAACTATAGTAAAGACTATAGACCAAAGACTATAGTCTAAACTATAGGCATAACTATAGACCAAATTATAGACAAGACTATAGATTAAACTATTGTCAAAACTATAGTAAAGACTGTAGACTAAACTATAGGCTAAACTATAGTCAAGACTATAGACTAAACTATAGTTAAGACTATAGACCAAGCTAAAGTCAAGACTATAGACCAAACTATAGTTAATACCATAGACTAACTAAAGCCAAGACTATAGACTAAACTATAGTCAAGACTATAGACTAAACTACAGTCGAGACTATAGACTATAGTCAATACTATGGACTAAGCTATATCCAAGACTAGAGGACTTATCTGTAGTCAAGTCTGTAGACCAAACTATAGTCAAGGCTATAGAATAAGTTAGAGTCAATACCATAGACTAAACAATAGTCAAGACTAAAGACTAAACTATATTCAAGACTATAGACCAAACGATTGTCAAGACCTTAGACTAAACTGTAGTCAAGACTATAGAATAAACTATAGTCAAGACTATAGACTAAACTATAGTCAGACTATAGAACAAACTATAGTCAAGACTATAGACCAACCTATAGTCAAGACTATAGACCAACCTATAGTCAAGACAATAAACTAAACTATAATCAAGACTATAGACTAAACTAAACTAGACTAAACTATAGTCAATACTATAGACTAAACTATAGTCAAGACTATAGACCAAACTATAATAGTCAAGACTAAAGACCAAACTATAGTCAAGACTGTAAACTAAACTATATTAAAGACTACGGACCAAACTATAGTCAATACTATAAACTAAACTATAACCAAGACTATAAGCTTAACTATAGTCAAGACTATAGACCAAACTATAGTCAATACCATAGACTAAACTAAAGTAAAGACTATAGACTAAACTATAGTCAAGACTATAGACTAACTATAGTCAAGACTATAGACTAAACTATAGTCAAGACTATAGACTAAACTATAGTCAAGACTATAGACTAAACTATAGTCAAGACTATAGACTAATCTATAGCCAAGACTACAGACCAATAGACTAAAATATAGGCAAGACTATATATTTAACTATAGTCAAAACGGTAGAATAAACTATAGACTAAACTATAGTCTAGACTATAGACCAAACTATAGTCAATACAATAGACTAAACTAAAGTCAAGACTATAGACTAAACTATAGTCAGAATATAGACTAATCTATAGTCAAGACTACAGACTATGGACCAAACTATAGTCAATTCTATAAACTAAAGTAGAACCAAGACTATAAGCTTAACTATAGTCAAGACTATAGACTAAACTATATTTAAGACTATAGACCAAACTATAGTCAAGACTATAAACTAAACTATAGTCAAGACTATAGACCAAACTATGGACTAAACTATAGTCAAGACTGTTGACTAAACTATAGTCAGACTATTGACTAAACTATAGTCCAGACTATAGACTAAACTATAGTCAAGACTATAGACTAAACTATAGTCAAGACTATAGACTAAACTATAGTCAAGACTATAGACTAAACTATAGTCAAGACTATAGACTAAACTATAGTCAAGACTATAGACCAAACTATAGTCAAGACTATAGACCAAACTATAGTCAAGACTATAGACTAAACTATAGTCAAGACTATAGATTAAACTATAGTCAGACTATAGACTAAACTATATTTAAGACTATAGACCAAACTATAGTCAAGACTATAAATTAAACTATAGTCAAGACTATAGACTAAACTATGGACTAAACTATAGTCAGGACTGTTGACTAAACTATAGTCAAGACTATAGACTAAACTATAGTCAAGACTATAGACCAAACTATAGTCAAGACTATAGACAAAACTATAGTCAAGACTATAGGCCAAACTATAGTCAAGAGTATAAGCTAAACTATAGTGAAGACTATAGACTAAACTGTAGTCAAGCCTATAGACTAAACTTTGCTCAATGCTGCAGATAAAATGTTTAAAAGGCTTAGGTCCTATGACGACATAATTGTTCCCTGCAGTTCACTGTTAGCTATACAATTTGAAAGTTTATTGGCTCCACGGTTTGTATGTATTTGCTGTTGTATTTATAAGAAATTTATTGTCACTGCAGTGTAAAGTAAAAGAATTACATCGATTTTGTTGGTTTGTTGTACACATTAGTTTTATACCGTTTTTATATGTCCTATTAAGGATTAACCCTTTTTTGTGTTAGTGTCGCAAGAAAAAACAAAACAACAGCACAAAGGAAACGGAAATTATCTTAACACTTGCTAAGACGCTAATACGTTGTTATTGCACGCGCCTTTTTAGAAATTTACTGCTCCGCTCTACTACTCTTCTATTAAAATATTGGTGACATTTCATTTGGGGGATATTTTTCATGAAAGCTTAAAATTGTATATGATTTTCTTGTTTTAAATTGTCATATTTCATAAGAAAATGCTAATTTGTTGAACCCTTTTTTCTTAACACACTTCTTATAGAAGTTTCATATTTTTAGAAAATTAATGAATTCATATTTCATTGAAATTACTTGAGGGAATCGAGAACCAGTCTTTCTTTTCGTTTTGAAGTTAAGTTTAATTAAAAGTATTTTGATATTGTACTCAATTAAATAAATTTGTTGACATTTAAATTTAGATGTGTTAATTAAACAATATTTCAAGAAATAAAATTAAATTTACACATACAGTTAATGAAACTTGACTAAAACAAACTAGTTACGTGGGTAGCGAAAAGCGAATAATTCTTGCTTTTTGCCTGGTTCCTTTTTTCGACTGAAGTAAGAAAACCTGGAACTTTGAAATCATTTCAAAGTAGGTATAATTTAAACACAGTACAGTGAATAACAAAAAAAAACATAAATTTAAAAAAAAGCCATTCATTCCAAAGTAGTGTTATTTCTAAAACCTATTCTACAGTAACCTTTTTGGTTACCTTGCGTACCCAAAATGTATGACGATCCTTAAAAACAGTGGCGACAAACTTGACGGTACCCTTGTAATCGATAGGAGATAACCATTCAAATTGAACACCATTAATAGGTTTCCTGTGCAATTTAACATTAATCAAAGTGTCCTAAATGAAAAAATTAATTATTATAAAAAGAACATCAACAAATTATTGTTATCAACTCACTTCATTAGCGTAACATTCTAAAGCTCTTGATTTTTTACTTTCAACAACTTTAAATCTACCAATAGGTTTTTTTCGAGCATTTCGAGCTTGTATAATAAAACCTAAAAATGTATCTCCACTCAAGCTGAGGGTTATTTTTTCACCCGATTTGATGGAGTTTTTTCCATAAAACTTATAGGGCGTTTTAGTGTTTTAAGGTTTTTCATTATATCCAGGACTTAGATCTTCACAAGCCTCTCGCGATGCTCTTCTCGAATAAGCCAAGTCGGGAAGAACTAAACAGAAAGTAAGAATAATTAAACGTAACATGTTGAGAGAAATAATTTAACTAAAGATCTATTTACTTTATAGCATTTCAATTATTCAAACCTTTTAAAAATTTATTTGTTGTCAGCTCTTGTTTCTAAGAATAGTTTCAGACTCAATTATAGTAATTGGTTGCGGTTTTTTTTCTTATAGCATTTATACATACATACATGCATATACATATATTTACATATACACAAGAGTGTCTCGAGAAACAGGCTTTTTAAGAATCTCATTTAAGACATGGTTTTATTGTTTGTGACACTTCATTTGATATAACTTTTACGATTTTTGTGTTATATATTGGAACAGTAATAGCGTAGATATTCCAATTACTTGTTGTTAAAATAAAAAAAAATAAAAAAATTCGTAAAAATAGGTGCCACCAATTAACGTGGTCCTATTGCGCAAAATTTTTCCACAATACATTTCTAAAACTTAAAGTAAAAGCCTTGAGGCAAAGGCGGTCACTATTTGCTGCAACTTCTTTAAAATAAAGGTTTAACATATGAAATACATATCTACTTTTTCAAGACATTCAGATAATCTGGCCAAATCCAGTGTTTCAATTACTCTTAGTCGTCTATATCAGAATTTCTCCATCACAGCTGAGATTTTATGTCCTAAAGTCTGATAAAATTCCATTTTAGAACCTTTTTGAGACATATGTATGCCGTCTGATCCATTATGCCAGATATATCCAATGCCATATACATACATATGTCTGAATTCTCTCTCCGTTGCTGTCGCCATCTCAACAGATGTCATTGGGTGATGTGACAGAGCAACCTAAGCTGGATTTCTGAACCCATACTTACTCTTCGCGTAGTAGGGCATCAGTATAGGTTGGGGAATTCTCAGGTTGATACTTGGTAGTTACTTGTCATTCCGTATATCGTTCTTAATGGTCTAAGAATGGAACTGATGTAGTTGGTGAACGATCGGGAAAGACTCCTCTGCCCGACAGGAGGCTAGTACTGATTTAGTAGACCTTTTAGTTCAGGGAAATTCTCGGTGCTGTTGCCATCTCAACAGGATGCATATTGTTGCATGCTACGCGACTTATGGTTGAGACCTGCCACTTAACTTGTAGGGGAAATTATTGGGTTTGAATTGACTTTGGAGATTCCTACATCTTTTGATACATTATCTGACAGAGGGTTCCTGATTTATTGGCTGGGTATTTTGGTGTACCAAATACGTTTCCAGGTGATGTTGCCGAATCAACACTACCATCTCAGTAGTATGGTTGAGCAGGCTTTAAAAGACTAAGGAAAGCACTGGAATGGGTCATTAGTTGATGGGAATTGCATTTTAACTAAAGCAATCTTTCATGCCATATAAAGGGTGGTCACCTTTTGGTATACCGGAAGATTAATTTCACCTGATGTTAGGGTTGTCTCTCCTTCTTGTCGTGCTATGCATTGGGATTGATCCCATGCGTCCTGCCATTCCGCAACGGGGTTACTATGGCAAGAGATTAGATAGCTCGAGTACTTCAGAAAAGTGCTTGTACATGGACCGGCGTAGCCTTGTACAAAATTTACCACCTGAGTTCTTCATAGGAGGATTCAGGGGCGCGTGATAGACTGTTCTCAAGTCTATCCTGTGGATGAAAAAGACCACCGTGAAATGAGGCCGTTAAGGCAAGTGTTCACGTTAAGCACTTAGACATTCTTGACACTACGTGCACCCCGATGGTACTTCTCTAATAACAGCGACAAGACAAAGTTCAAAACTTGTTACCTGATTTTGTGGTTCTCTGATTCGACCTCATGTACAAAAATTGCCACTTGAGTTCTTAATAGAAGGATTCAGGGGAGCGTGGTAGACCGTTCCCAAGTCTACCGAATGGATGAAAAAGACCACCGTGAATTAAGGCCATTAAGGCAAGTGTTCACGTTAAGCACTTAGACATTATTGCCACCACTTGAACCCCAATGGTACTTCTCTAATAACCGGGACAAGACAAAGTCCAAAACTTGTTACCAGATTTTTTGGTTCTCTGGTTCGACCCCATGTCAAATAAATAATTCCAATGAAAGTCCTAGAATACATTTGATCATCACCAGTTAATAGTCCCGGCAGACTAGAGGTACTGGTAGCACCTCTTTTCCTGGGCAATCACAAGTCCGGGGTGAATCCCTTTATACAGTTGTACTCCATATTACAGTTTAATTTAACTTCGATAAGGGTATCGAAGCACCCAAGGTTAGCTAGTATAAAATAACCTTGTTATACCTCATTTACCGTCAAAACTAATTCAGGGACTTTTTTTAAATTTTTGAATAATAAAACAATTATTTCATTACACAGATTGTTTTTTTAAATAGTTACAAAAACTTTTCCACAATGTTTATTCCTAAGGCTTTTAGTATTAAGTTTTAAAAGCTAAAATCTCATAGTAATTGTTTATTTGTTTTTTAATAAATAATGTCAACATTGTTCACTATGAAATGCTTTTTGTTTAAACATTTTACTTTACACTTAATAAAAACATTGAGCCACTAAAAACAAAAAAAATAACACCAAACAAATTTCCATTACTTTTGTTTAAATAACTATAATTTTATTATTTTATTTAGTTAATTGTTACAGGTGCAAAAAAAGTATAAATAAATATAATAAATATTGTACAAATAAAGTGACATCATTTTTATATAAAAAATTTTTTTTTGTGGAAACGTAATATTTATAATTATTTAAAAAAAATATATACAATATACACTGACCATGAACAAAAAACATTTTTTAATAATAATATTATAATAAAATAATTTAAAAAACAAAAGAGATTTTTTTTGTCTTTTAAACAATAGAATAAATAGCATT